CAAGGCGCGTGACGGAGGAAGGGGCTCTGGCGGCTCTGCATTCCACCAAGCCACCCCCGAGACCAGCCTTCCCGGTATTCCGCCCGGCAGCGGGAATGTCTCTGGATTCAAGAGACGTTCGATGGCGGCAAAAGTCCCGCATCTCGCAGCCTCAGCCAAATCGCCACTTAATTAGTGTGCCCTCAGCCTGGATGACTCCGTCAGCTTCCTGCGTTGGACCCAAGGACGGCGCGGAAGCCAGGGCGATCCTGTGACTCACCCAGCCCAGCTCCGGCGCGAGCTGCCAGGAAGGCAGGCAGAGCGTTGGCACCGCCATCCCTCTCTGAGTCACGGCTTTCGGCTTTCGTTTTCACCTTCAGCCGGGAGCATCTGCAGGACAAATGGAAGCAATCAGGCACCTCTCTTTGCCAGCAACATCCGGCCTCTCCCTGTCCCCCGGCTCAGGGACATCCCTGACTCCAGCCTCGTTCTTCAAGCTCCTGATGTTTGTGATGCCAGACCCCACATGCCAGTGCAGGCCAGGGTCAGGGGAGCGCGAGAGGCAGGCCCCTTCTGGCCGCTGAGACCGTCTGGGTGGTGCTGGAGGCGGCGAGGGGAGCCCAGGGCGGCAGGAGCGGATCCGGTGCAGCCCAGCGCTCTGGTTGGAAGGACGTGACGCAACGGACTGGAGTCGGCATCATGGGCCTAGGGAAACCTCTCTTGCGTCTCTCTGGCGCCAAGCTTGGAGCTGGTTCTGGGGCGGAACGACCCTGCTTCCCAGCGAGTCAGAGCTGAAGGCTGGCCAAGGTTGTGGAGCCGCTGCGCTCAAGGCCAGGTGGGCCGGGGCGGGCCCCGGCCAAGAGCCTGTGCCCCGCTGGGGGCCCACGGCAAGGTCTCCCTGGGCTGCTGCCCCCTGCCTTCGCAAGGCCACTGCGTGGCAGGGTGGGGGGAGTCGGGCCGGGCGCCGTGGCTGCCCTGTGTGCTGACTCTCTGCTGTCCGTGATGAGAAGGGAGCGGCAGCCACCGGGGACGACGTGTGTCAAAAGGTGGGCACGAAGGGCGGGGGCCACGGGTGGGGTCCTTCCAAAGCCCCTCCAAGGCCTGAAGCTGGTCCTGGCCTCAGGCTTCAGAGGGCCTTGGGAGAGACCGCATGCGCGGGTGGCCACCAAGAAGGGCCCCACCAGGCCAAGCCCACCCTTCTCTCCCCCTCTTGCTCCACGATGCGATGCGTGCTCAGCAGGCAGGAAAAGACCGCCTCGGACATTCTCAGGTGAGCCGCTGCCCTGGGCCCACAGTGGCTGAGAGCTCACCAATGCCTGGGTGGGCAGCCCTGGCTCCCTGCATCAAATGCCCCCTGGGAATTCCCACCGCCAGTTTGCCTTGCCTTGAGTTGTGTGGGGCAAACATTTGAGAGCAGAGATAAGCAGTCTTAGCTCTGGTTCTGAGCAGCTGCTCTGTCTGAGCTGTACCTCCAATCTGGACACATAGAAACACAGAAACAGAGCTAGTCAGAAGGGTCCTCCCGGGCCATCTAGTCTGACCCCCGGCACCAGCCGGCTCCGCTCATGACATGCCCACCATGTGCATGTCCAGCCTGTCCTTGAACACCCTCCCCGATGGGGCCTCAACCACCTCCCGTGGAAGCCCATTCCACACCCTTGGGGTCCTAACTGTCAGAAAGTGCTTCCTGGCATCCAAATGGAACCTTGGCTCCCTAAGCTTTGTTCCGTTGGAGCGCATTCTGCATATAAAGCAAAAAAGTGGAAAAATATAAAACATCATCCGCATGAAGAAAACAAGGATGTCAAGCAGAAGGGCTACAGGTGGATCCTTTCCCTCCCATGCCCGCTTTCCCACAAGCCGGAATCTTCGGGTCCTCTTTGTTCCCGCATTCTTGAGTTGGAGGAACCTTGCCCTGCAGTCGGAGTGGATACCCGTCTGCGCAGATATTCATCGCGTTGCCACGTGAGAAGGACCGTGCCGGTCTTCCCGCTATGTTAGACCACAACCCACATCAACCCCAGCCAGCCTGGCCTTGTGGTCCGACATATCTAGAGCGCACCAGGTTGGGGAAACCAGGCGAGGTGTGGCGAGAGCACTTGCCCTGTCGGCAGGGGAGGGTGGGAGTCGTAGTCTGAAGCATCGGGAGAGTGCTGAGTTGGGGGAGACTGGGCTAGGCTGTCCCTCTGCACTCCCTCAGGCGCTTGTGTGCGGCGGCAGGGCCAAATGGTTGCGCAAGGCTTCCTTTGGTAGGGAGCTCTGGCCAGAGCATCCTGGGGCCCAGCCGGGCAGATCTCTTTGTCTCGGCACCGGGAGATCCACCGCCCTGAAACCACAGCTGTCGGATTGTGGCCGCACAGCCCCGTCTCCCATGGAGGCATCGGGGTCGAGTGGCTGACCACGTCATGCCCCGGTGGTGTCTTCTGCGCCCACTCAGGTCAGAAAACAAGCCACGGGGAGCCCCATCTCATCGGGGAGAACAGGTCCCGGGAACAGCTCAAAAGTGACTGATGTTGAAGCTCCCGACAGGCAGGTATGAGGTGCGAGTCAAGTTCCTTTGAAAATGAAGATGTTTCATAAGCGGCGAGCCTGCAGTGGGTTTCCGAGCACGCAATTCCTGCCCATGTGGAGGCCGTACAAAGAGAGGTGGCGTCTATTTCTTAACTTCCCATTAATTCTGCGTGTCGGAGGCTGCTGCCCCATCTCCTGCCTTCATGTCGGCGAGCCCAGTCAGGCGGAAGGGAACATGCGAGCAAGCAGAGCCTTGCAGTATTCATGCGGAGCGTCCTCGGCTGCGGGGGGGGGGGGGGGGGGGGGGAGTGGATGCCGCGCGGGGCTTCAGTCTTTCCTTTGGCCGTGATTCATGGCTAGGCAAGGCTGGCCTGGGAGGTGAGCAAGATCACATTTAGCCGCAAGGACTGGGTCTCTTTCAGCAAAAGCCCTTCCTGCTGGCCAGAAGTATTTCTGCACCTGTGTAAGACCCATTATCCTTCCAGGCAGCTCTCTCATCCCGTGGTTCTTTTGGCTGGCAGGAAATCTTAGTAGCAAGACCAAGGCCAAAAGGAAGCAGGTCCTTGGGCAGCTGCAAGCGGGTCCTGCAGCCTGGGCCCTTCGCCTGTGGGGACGGCACGGCTGGGTTCAGACGGCATGGCATGCCATGGTGATGCTTTACTGACGCTGGTCTGTCTTGTTGTCTGAACCCAGTGGCAAGCGTGGTCTTTAGAAACCATGATAAGAAACAACAGTTTCTTCCATGGTTTTTCATGTTGCCTGAACCCAGAATCGTGACTTCTGGGGTCATAGAATCATAGACTAGTAGCGTTGGAAGGGGCCAGAGGGCCATCATGGGGTCCAGACCCCTGCCCAGTGCAGGATCCCAGCTTCTCCACCTCTCTTGGACAGCTGTCCAGTTGCACCTGGAAAGCCGCGAGGGTGGGGGAGCTCACTGCCTCCCCAGGTCATGGCTGCTCTAACAATCAAGGAGGTTTCCTGATGCCCAGCTAGAATCTGACTTCCTGTCACTGGAGCCCATTTTTCCGAGTCCTGCACTCTGGGAGGATCGCGAAGAGATCCTGGCCTTCCTCTTTGTGACAGCCTTTCAAGTGCTTGCAGCTCTCCCTTAGTCTTCTCTTCTCTGGGCCAAACATCCATGGTAAGCAACTACTACCATGGGGTCCTCTGGAAAGAGTGGCAATTGCAGAGCCAGTCTAACCATCCAGCCTCTATGGTGGACCAGTGAAGAAGAAGCAGGCAACATAGGCAGGGAGTGATGCACCTTGGGATTGAATTCCAGGCACAGTGGCTGATGGGATACATGCCAACAGTGGGAGGACTGAATGGGGAGGATGGAAACCATGATAACATAGGATCAAGTAAATCCCATGAATGATGGCAACTGTGCAGGGTTGCTTGCTCGGTTGTGTGAATGCAGCCTAAGAGCCAACCTCTGGAACCAAGGACCTAGGGAGATGGAGGGCTCTCCTACCCTGGAGGCATTCAAGAGGCAGTGGCACAGCCATCTGTCAGGGATGCTTGAACCCGAAGCCCTGCAGTGAGCAGGGGGTGGACCCGATGGCCTCAGAGGCCCCTTCCAACTCGGCTCTTCTGGGATTCCACGAGCCCCGGACCACTTCAGCTGCGCAGTCCCCCTCCGCTCGGCGGGCCTTTCCAGACCATCCACCCGTCCCTGTCCCAGCCTGCCTTCCATTTCACAGGTCAGGAAGGATCAAAAACCCACAGAGCTCATTAGGAAATAAGCAACGTACCAGAAGTGAGGCAGACGGGGCAGGAGGGTATATTTAATTCTAATCATCTGTCGCTCGTTGGCAGCCAACATCCCTTGTTCTAATCGTCCTTTGTGACACAGAGAATCAATATTGATTTTTGTCTCTCTTTTCTCTTTCTCTTTACACTCCTTTAAATCTCAAAGTGACCTGTCTTCCTCTCTTCTTTCTCCTGGAAGTAAGAAACAATTCCGTGTCCAAAGCATCCGTTTTGCTGCTGGCTCATTAATCCCTAGTTTTGGCCTCCTCCCCAAAGTAGTTTTTCAGGGCTTCATCTGGTGTAAGGATGCCCTTTTCCTTTCAGACCACTGCTCTGTTCAGCAACTGGGAAGTCAAATTGACTCATGCCCAGGAACCAGGGGCTGGTCCGCACACTCAGTCGTGCAAACGGGTGTGCACCTGTTCAGTGTGCAGGCAGTTGAGTCCTGGACCCCAGAGGAGCCCTCCTGTCCCGGCCAAGCATCCCTCGGGCCCAGCATCTGGTTCCCCCGTGGCCAGCCAGCTGCCACGGGAAACCCGGAGGTGTCAGGGACCACCGTTTCCAGAGAAGCTTGAATGCCAGCACCCTCTGTCAGGGAGCACCCACGCTGGAACCAGGTTTCTGGCAGAACCCTGCATGTGGAAATGAACTCTTCAACTTGCACCCATCAGCGTTCCCTTCAGGACTAGAAGCTTGAGCAGTATCATTCCCCGCATTTACACATGAGCCCAGTCACTCTCAGGTTTTGCCTCTTCCAGGTGCTGGACAACTTAGAGAGCCACCTGAAGAAGTCGGAGTATTTCCGTTTCCTCTGGTTTCCTCACAGTGAAAATGTGAGCGTCATCTACCAGAACCACACCAACAAGGTAAATCCCTCAAACTGCACGAGGAGCCTAGAAATGGGTGGGAACAAATGGCCAAGGAGGGACGGGCAAGAGGCCCGAGAGCTTGCGCAAGCCCCACTCATTTCAGTGGGGCTTCCCCTAGAGCATACCTTTGCTCTTCTCCCAACAGCCCTGCTAGGTAGGACTTAAATGCAGTTAATTTACAGGTGAAGAACTATTCTGCAGCTTTTCAGCCTGAGAAAACAGCTGCAGCACAACCTTTAACTCTTCCACAGTGGGTTTCAGAATATAGAAACACAGAAACAGCGCGAGTCAGAAGGGGTCTCCCGGGTCATCTAGTCTGACCCCCGGCTCCAGCCGGCTCCGCTCATGACATGCCTACCATGTACATGTCCAGCCTAGCACCCCCCCTTTACAAATCTGGCCACTTGGCCCCCCAGTGCTGCTCTGAATGTGCTCTGGCCCCCACTTTGGGGAGACAGCAGGAGTTGCTTACACAGGGGCTATGAGCCAGGAAGTCTTTGGCTGAACGTGGGAAGACTCCCTAGGTAAGTTCACACAGCACCACCTAAAGCCATAAAATGTAGTTACACAGTAAAGCATCACATACAAACCTTGCATTCAGAACAGAATAAAATAAAAGCAGTTATAAGCCGGTAAATCCTATCAAAGCTTCACCAAAACGGAAGAGGAACACCTGCGTATTTGCGTATGGTGGGCATGTCGTGAGCGGAGCCGGCTGGTGCCGGGGTCAGACTAGATGGCCTGGGAGACCCCTTCTGTCTCGCTCTGTTTCTATGTATGTATTTGGAAAGGCAGCAGGATGTTAAAACCTGTTCAAAGGTGCAACTCAGTGCAAACTTAGACGGGAAAAGGGCCCGGAGTCCCAGTGTGCCGCAGCAGGCAAGCCCCCCCTGTGGAGGGCATTCTGGAGATGGGCTGCCACCCTGAGAAGACCCTTTCCTGGCCCCCACTCCTGAGGCATGAGAAGGACCTCTGGAGATACCTTGTCTCGGTGGCCAGGTCCGCAGGAGAGCAGGAAGCCCCCAAGATTACCGGATCCCCTGCGATACAAGGCAACGTTCCGCAGCGTGGTGTCCTCCCGGTACCCTGGATTACAACTCCCATCCTCCCTAGCCAGCACAGCCAGCAGTGGCTCAGTGTGATGCCAGCTGTAGGTCCACGTATCTGACAGGCACCAGAGAGTCGAAGGCTGATATGGGGCTTGGCCATCCCCTTGTGAGCCTTACAGGGGCACAGGGGCCCCGATCCTACCCCTTTCTTGTCGCGTGTGTCCCATGCAGGCTCCCTCCTCCTCCGCCAGCTGGCTTTGGGACTATGCCGTTGGGTACTACCTGCTCGAGTTCCTTCTTTGGATCAGGTAGGTTTCGGTGTGGGTTTGCAGCATAGCTCAGCAGGCCCATCTCCGGTTCCAAAAGAGCCGCTTTAACGGTGGGGAGAAGAAAAGCAAAGCGGGCGAACCCCAAACCCACCATTTGGCAATCCTTTTATGATGACCAGCCAAAATCCCACAAAACTGTGCAAGCTTTTGAGTTCTCCAGGACTCCTCATCAAGCAAAAAGTCAGGAGAGAGGGGAAGACAAAGTCCAAAAAATGGCCTCGGAGATTTACAGTTTAGATTAAATCCAGGCTCAAGGCAATCCTCCTAATCAGCACCAGTTTATTGCATGTTACTTTTTCTTAGTGAAACCAGGCTCGGAGCGGCTCACAACAATATCAGAGCAATTTACAATATAACGTGCACGGCTAATTACACATCATAACACGGTTTGAATAACCTACACATAAAAACATCACACACACCTAAATATACAGGAGGTTCAAACCATTCTATAATAGCTATCCTAACGCCAAGGCAGGGGGAAACACACAGATGCAAACTGCAAAAGCAGCTGGGGCCACAGACCCTGTGGCTGCGGCTGCCAGGCCAGGTGGGATGAGCCAGAGAAGCAGAGAAGGAAGCGCGTTGCGCAGCTGGGCTTGCCGCTGGGGCGCTGGGCCTCTCTGAATCGGCCGGTGCCGGTGCGGTGGACGTCAGCTCAGCTCATACCCAGCAATGTCTCTCGGGAAGAATTCCTGTCCTAGGTGGTCTCCCGTCCAGGGCAACTCCAGCTGAACTTTATCACCTGCTTCCAAACCCTCCTCGGAGCCCTGAGAATCAAAGCAGGGAGAACCTCAACCCACAGACTTGGTATTGGGAAGATGTATTTTTTACTTGTGAAGAGAGAGGTTTCCACCCGCTCTGCGAATCTGCCAGGCTTATGCACACAAACATGTGCAGAATCTCATCTGGTCGCATTCCTAGCGGTGTGAGGACTGGGGTTGCACTGCCACCTTGTGGGCTGAGGCCGAAAGAAGGCCGGTGGGATTGTGTGGCCTTTTAGCCCTCACGGAGGGGAAAAAGCACGCTGCACAAATCCGCAGGCTATCAAAGTCCGAAGCCCACAGATGGCTACTTCTGCTTGCCCGGTTGCTCCAGCAATGCTCCATGGTGATGCTGACCATGTGTGGTCAAACGCTGGATTTTGATGGTGGTGCAGTGGGCCGGGCTGTTGAGTGGAAGGTCGGCGGTTCAAATCCGCGTTACGGGGTGAGCACCCGCTGCTCCGTCCCAGCTCTTGCCGGCCTAGCAATTGAAAGCATGCAAATGCGAGCAGATAAATAGGTACCACTTTGGTGGGAAAGGTAATGGCATTCTGGGCACCTTGGTGTTCAGTCACGCTGGCCTCACGACCACGGAAGCATCTTCGGACAAAGCCGGCTCTTCGGCCTACGAACGGAGATGAGCAGCGGCCCCAGAGTCAGGCACAACTCGCACGTGCGTGCAGGGACCTTTACCTTCCCGTTATCCCTTCCTGACCGCTGGAAAAGCCCTTCTCTCGCCACGCTCTTCCTGGGAGGAGAGGGTGCAGGGGCCTGGCTCGTCTCCCCAAGCAGCACGTTCCGGAGCTGAGAGCTGCGCAGCAGGAAGCCTCCCAGGTGCCGGCCGAGCAGGCCTCTGCCAGGGAAGGCGCCTTCAGTGGCCTCGGTTCTCGCTTCGCCTTCCTCCACCGGCCTTTTCCTCTGCTCGCTTCTCAGCACGTTCCTGCCCTTCCTGGTCCCCTGGATCAACCGTTTCTTCTTCTGGCTCCTCTTCACTGGCAAGACCGAAAATGTCAACTTGAGCTACAAGATCTTCAATTACGAGTGTCGCTTCAAGCAGCATGTGCAGGATTGGGCCATCCCCATGTAAGCGGAAACAGCAGCACCCCTTCCGGGCAGGATGTGGCCCTTCAGGACCTGGGAGAGCTGCTAGGCCGGAGGTTCCCCCCCAGTGGACAAAGGCCAGCTGAGCCCCAGAATCGCCTGCCTCCTCCAAAATTGAGCTCTTCAGATGTTGCATGACAACCTTCATTGACCCCAACCATATTGGGCCATGCTGGCTGGGGATGCTGGGGCTTCAAGCTCAACAGATCTGAAGAGAGCCAGTTTGGAGAAGGCAGTGCTGACTAGGGGAGAGGAGCTGCTGAAGGTTCAAACCCGTCCTTCTGCTGAGGACCAGCAGGAATGTTCTGGCTTCCGAGCATGGCCTCCTCGTCTTCCCAGCTGGAGCCCGTGGCGAGGGTCGGAGGGGGCTTGGGCGGCTGGTGAGGCTGGTGATGAAGCTGAGCCTCCGTCACTAGGATGGGTGCCTTGCCATCTTCCCCAGCACCACTTCCTTCCACAACTAGCTCCCTTCCAAGTCAAGGAGCGTGGTTTGAAGGCACCCAGGGTGTCCGCCTTGTTGAAGCTAAGCAGGTCTGGGGCTGGCCTGAGCTTGGAGGGGAGACCACCTGGATGCCACACGTGGCCACCTTGAGTTCCACAGTGGCAGGGAGGTGGGATGTGACTAAACCCGACCGGCCAGTGTGGGTTCCTAACGAACAAAGCTGCCCCATTCTAACGGGCCCTCGTGTCTTGGCCGTGTGTCTTGCACCGACCTCTGGCAGTGAGAAGACGAAGGAGGCGCTGCTGCAGCTCAAGGAGATCCTGCAGAGCAGCCCCAAAGTGGTCGCCCACTTCCCCGTGGAAGTGCGCTTCGCCCGGGGGGACGACATCCTGCTGAGCCCCTGCTTCCAGAGGGACAGCTGCTACATCAACATCATCATGTACAGGTACGGAGGGCGCTGCCCAGTGGCCTGGTGGACACGGGTTGTCCCACACCCACCAGCAGCAGCAGGAGAGGCCGTTCCATGAGCGGGAAAAGTCCACCGGGGGGTGAATTTGGGGGGTGTTTTGTGGAGAAAAGGAGAATGGGGCTACTCGCCCTCCTTTTGCCCCTTAGCTGTGGCCACCAGCCTCCTTTTCCCATAGAAGCAGCATGCCTCCAGAGCAGAGAATCAGAGAATAGCAGAGTCGGAAGGGGTCCTGAAGGCCATCTAGTCCACCCCCTGCTGCTGCAGGACACCAAGTCACGCCATCCACTCGGAGGGCTGTCCAAGTTCTTTCTGATGTTCATGGTTGCCTCTATTTGGCAACCAACAGGTTTTATTTCCCAGGATGCACCTCTGTGAATGCCAGCATCACACAGACAGAGAGAGCTTCTGGGGCGGGTGGGGGAATGGCAGCCCGGCCACTTCCATGGGAGCCGTCATTTTTATTTCCCAGAAGCTCCCTGGGTAAGATGTGTGTGTTCCCCAGAAGAACCATTTGGACAACAAAAACAGCAGCAGCAAAACAAGCCCCGGGAGCCACGCCTGACACAACTCGTGCAGGGAGCTCCCCCGGGCCTGTGGGACCACTGTCACAGGGCATCCCGCCCCGCGGTTGGGCCCCACATGAATCCTGGCGGCATCACCTGGAAGGTGTTGGGTCCTGCTCTGGGTCAGCTGGGTAAGGGCACCTGCCCCGGCCCCAGGGCGAGGCCTTTCCGGAGGCCCAGCAGGTTCCTCCATGGAACCTGGAGGATTCCTTGAAGGACCAACCCACCCGCTCAGCATACGGGGGAAGGTCTGGGGGGACTCCAGCCCCGCACCCACATTTGCAGCACACCAACATGAGCCGCGCCAACCCCCAAGCCTGCCGGAGCATCCACAAAGGGGGTCCCGCGGGAGGAGGGAGTGCAGGAAAGGGTTCCTGGAGAGGGGCGGGGTGGGGGCCCTTCGACTTCGCAGGGGGGCATTTCAGCCCACGTGTCCTCCCACACCCTCCTCCAGGCCCTACGGGAAGGACGTCCCGCGCCTTGACTACTGGCTCGCCTACGAAGGCCTCATGAAGAAACTGGGGGGACGACCACACTGGGCCAAGGTACGGGGGGGCAGGAGGGGCAGGGGAGGAACTCGCCCTCCGGCTGCAGTCCGCCCCTCTCCTCCGGCGCGGTGTGGAGCAGTGTGGGGGGAAAGATGCAGCCCTGGCATCTCAAGGCGCGGGCAGCGGGTGCTGCGGGGCCTCTGCCAGTCAGAGCGGACAGACGGCGAGATGGCCTGGCCTGGCCTGGCCTGGCCTAGGGCAGCTTCTTGGGTTCCGTGCCATCTATCTGGGGGCGCCGGGGGTTAGGGCAGCTCCCGGCAGCTCCCGGGGGCCACACGAAGCGGCCCTCGCACAGACCCGGTGCAGCAGCCTCGGAGGCCGTTTTCACAAAGGGTGCACACGTCTGCCTCCAGCCCTGGGGCCGTGGCTGCTAAAGGGCGTCCCACCCCCAGACCCTTCAAAACGCCTCCTCCTCAGCCTGGAACGCTGATGGAATCGCCGCGCACCGTGTAGGACCAACTGCTAGTCCTTGGCAAGAGCCCCCTCACCCCACCCCTTGCGAGCCTGGCTTCTCACCCACTGAGTGGCTGCGCCTGTCCAGCGCCTCAGGCGGAAGAAGCTCCCTTCGCAGCCCTGCCACCGGAGGTCCTTTCTCCAGGGATGAACGCTGGCCCCAAAAGGGGCCTCGGGGCAACGAGCCGTCTGGACAAGAGCCCTGCCTCCACGGGGTGAGCCAAGAGCTCCTGGGAAGCGGGGCCGGCTGTATATGAAGCGGACTGAGCTGTCCCCTCAGGCAGCAGACCTGAGCCGCCCTGGAAGGCCGCCAACGGGGTGGTTACTTGCTTAGCGGGGCCGTTTCCTGGCCAAAGAGGAGAAGAGCGGCTCGTGGTGCTCGCTGCCCAGGCCTCCAGATGCTCGCGGAGCCTTGCCCGGTGCGCCCCGCCGGAGCCGATGGCCAGCGTGGGTGGTGCTCCATGCGCCCCCGGGGCCAGCCCAGATGGGAGGCCGGTGAGCGAGGGCCCCTGCTGCCCAGGGCGTCAGTCCCAGAACATACCATGCTCCCCGGTTCACGGTGGCGAGGCTGGCAAATCCAGCCCGGGGTCCTTCAGAAACATCTTGGCCGACCGACGAAGGCGCAGGCTGGCGTATGGTGTTTAAAATACAGTGGCGCCTCTGCTCATGAATGCCTCGGTTGGTTCATGGACAAAGCGGGTCGTGAACAAAAATCCCGTGAAAACTCTGACGTGGGTTGTGAACTCCGCGTTGGGTGGGGACCAAGATCACAGCCATCCCCCCCCCCCCCCCGAGTGGGGAGATGGCCAGGATCGCAGTCGCGCTCCTGCGGGGAAGACGGGCGCGATCTCGGCCATTCCACCCCCCCAACCAGCACGATCGAGGCCATCTCCCCCCCCGCCACCCGAGTGGCCTTGATCATGCTGGGGGCGGGGGAGAGATGGCCCAGACCACACCTGTCTCTCCCCCCCCCCAGTGCGCCAGGATGACGGGCACCTGCTGGGATGGCAGGCGCGATCGCGGTCGTGCTGGGGGGGGCGGGGAGATGGCTGTGATCTTTGTTGTTCTTTGTCACTTTGCTTCACATTCTTCTGATTAAAACAAAAATGGTTACAGACCGGATTACCTTATTTGCATTGAACCTTATGGGGAAATTTAACTCGGCTCACGACCAGTTTGGGTCACGACCAGAGTCCTGGAAGGGATTGAGTTAGTGAGCCGAGGCAGCACTGTACATCTGGGCCCCCTTTCAGCACAGGAGCCCTCCCAAGGCTCAGTAAAACAGACACAATTTGAGGAAAAAGCCCTCTAAGAACCAAGAGAAAGACGCCCACACGTGGGGAGGCCAAACTAAGGAGGGGCCCTACTCAAAGCCCTTCTGTTGCGGCCTGGTGGGATTCCAGGGGCAAGGAACGAGCGCCCACAGGTTCAGTGCGCTAGGCAACTTGCCAGGAATATCGGCCCCGTGGCTACAACACCGGGAGAACGCCAGCCGCGTGGCATTCATAGGCTTTCTGGCCGGGTCGCACGGACGCCTCCGTTCCATCCCTCCTGCTGAAAAACGGGCCAGTTCGATCCGTGCCGACCGCTGGCTCTGAAGCTACTCAGAGTAGCCGTGCGATACCCGCTCGCCTCCAGCCGTGCTGCCGTCTCCCATCCATAATAGCAAAAGGTGTGGAGCGGTCCAGCCAACCGCCCAATTCCCTGTCCCTCTGCTGCATCCGTTTTCTCTCGCCATCCGTCTAGAACGTCCTGCTGGAGGGCCCACATCACCCGTGCGGAAGGTGTGCGGCCCCAGGAGAGGGGGAGGTGGGCAGCAGCCCCCCTCGACTGCCAGGGGTCCCCCGGTGTCTCTGGAGCAGCGTGACTCCCACCCCCAGTCTGTAGCGTGCCGGTTCCAAACTTGCGGCTTCAGTGCCATCCAGGACGACCTCTGGGGGCGACGAAGGGCGAGGCTGACGCCCGTTCTCTCCGCAGGCCCACACATGCACCCGAAGGGACTTCGAGAAGATGTATCCCGGCTTCCAGAAGTTCTGCTCCATCCGGGAGGAACTGGACCCCGGAGGGATGTTCCTGAATGCCTACCTGGAGAAGGTCTTCTACTGAGGGGCACAGTGCAGGTGGCGGCAGTAGCGGCTGGGGAAGGGAATACTGCTCAGCAGAGGTCCGACGCCAAACCTCCCTCCTGGGCGACGTGCGGGTTTCTGCACTGCCCAAGGCATTCGGCACGTCTCCGTCTGGAAAGGCTGCAATCCTGAGTGCTTAGGCAGAGCTTGTCCCCACAACGGCCTCACTGAGTTGTAGGACTCTTTTGTCCAAGCAGGTATAGGACTGTGCCCTTAATTAAAGCAAAATTCTAAAAGCAACAGTAAGGGAATGCCTTAATTAGGACCGGCTAACGCAGCAGGTTGGCTTTTCCTCTGAAAATACAAAAACCAGTTTGGTTTGGTCTCTACTGATCATTGGAACTGCCACTTTGGGGTTTTTTCAACGGGCTAGGACGGCTACTTGCACATGTTTTGGGGAGCCTGTGGAAAGGATGGGGGGCTCACAGGAAAGTGCTGCTGGGATTTATTCCTGTCCCTATTAAACTGCCTCTGCACGACTTTGTCAGCTCTGGCCATTCATTAATGCACGCGGCAATCGAGGCCCCTGCGCCACCCGATAACTGTGGTCCTGTGTCCCGCTCCGGGCGCCGCAGTCTACGAAAGAGGCAGACAAGTTGGAAAGGGCTCAGAGGAGGGCAACGAGGATGGTCCGGGGACTGGAGACGAGGCCCGAGGACAGAGCGAGAGAACTGGGCGCGTTTAGCTTCGAGAAGGGAAGACAGGGGAGATGCGATAGCGGTCTGCACGTCCTGGAAAGGTGCCACAAAGAGGCAGGCCGGGATCTCCTCCGCCATCCCAGATGGCAAGACGTGGGTCAGATTCCAGCCGGACATCTTCCTGACCGTGAGAGCAGTACCAGTGGAACCCACGACCCGGGGAGGTGTGGGGCTCTCCCACCCCGGGGCATTCAAAGTGCAGCCGGACAGCCCTCGAGAGGGATGGTGTGACGAGGTCCCACACTGAGCAGCGGGCTGGACCGATCCGTGGCCCTCTGGCCCCTCCCCACTCGGCTCTTCCCCGATTCCGTGATCGGCCGAGGTTGCTCTGTGCCGCGGCTGTGCTGAAGGGTTCTGGCCACACGGGGCAAGCGCCTCCCGCCGTACCTGCACCAGCAGGTCCTGGGCCACCTGGGGGCGCTCAAGGCCTGGCCCCAGGAGCTGGGGCAGGGCTTCTGCCACAGGGCTGCGCTCGGGAGCAAGGCCACGGGGCAGGCAGGCCTCCTCTCGCACGTGGGGCCCGACTCCCTCCCCGAAGGTCATGGCCTCTTGTGCCGCTGATGCCTCTAGTTCCAAGGATGTGTGAGGACTGTGCTCCTTGGTGCAAATCATGCGGGTGGATCCTGATCGTAAACTCAAAACGTCGGCAGGAGCACAGTTCTTGGGATTTTGTTGCAATTTCCTGAACTGGTCTTGGTGCTTGAAAATGTGAGCTGCTGAAAATGCACCTTTGCACCAATCCTCCCCAGTGGCATTTTCGTACTTGAGGCTTGGGAGGGGGGGCGGGGGAATGCATGTTCTCAATTGGGACAAAGGCACATTTTTAAAAATGGATTTTTTCAGTTGCCCTTGGTAAGGGAAAAAACCCCAGGATGCTTGTGTGTGGAAGCACAAAGGCGGTGAGGGGAGGAACAAGACGTAACCGGAGAACCTCAGCGACCTCAAACCTCACGTGTCCACCCACCTTGGCCAGTTACCCCTTCCCTGGATGGAGGAAACCTGCCTTGCCCAAGCTGGTAAGCTCCAGATACCCCGCACTCACACCTGCCCCAGGGAGGAGGCCGTGGCCAGGGATCCCGCGAGCTGCTCCCCCAGACGTCCGAGCGTGGAAGGCTGCGAGGCCCCACTGGGGCACAAGCAGGCCAATTCCCTCCACGCGCGCGCTTTTCCCCCAACTGGAAACTGCAGCTCAGCACCCCTGGACGTTGCAGGGGTCCTAGGAGGCCCTGTGCTGAGGCCTTCGCTTGCCCACCACGGCTCTTCTTTTATGAACCGACACACTGGCATGCCTGGGGAGACCCCCCCCCCGCCCCGCAGTGTGTTTCGCCTCTAAGCGGACAGCCAGTCACAGGACCACACGGGCATCGTCGCCAGACCAGCCGCTTTATAAAGCGACGGGAACAAGGTAGAGGTTAAGATGCTGCTGCGCAGAAGTTACGATCTTGGGGAGACCTGGAAGGGTATTGATGATGCACAGAAGGAAAGGGAGAGGCCAGGGGAGCCAGTGGTGGATGCAAGGACAATACCTTGTGGCTCTGATACTGGACATGATTCGGGTTTATTCCGGTTATCTTAGCCATTATTATTTATTACGCTCCAGCCATGTGCCCAAACTGAAAAGCCAGCTTCTCCCTCGCCTTTCTCTGTTATGTAATTCTGCAGTCAAAGTCAGTTTAGCAAGAAGCGTTGTGCTAAAACACTTACTGCTTTCGGTGGCAATCCCAAATTCACTTACCTGCAAACAAACCGTGCTGAATACAGAGGGACTTAATTCTGAGTAGACGTGCATAGAAGCGTGCTGTTGCAGTCCTTAGAATATCCACGCTCACAACAACCCTGTGAGGGAGACCGCGTGCCACCAGTCCCGTTTCACAGCCTGATGACTGAGGCGGAGAGACAGTGACTTGCTCGACGCCGCCGGGCAAGCTCCCGGCTGAGCGAGGGCGCAAGGCAGCTTCTCCAACCATCCGCTGCACAGCCCTGTCGAAGCACGGCCACCTTCCTCGCCGGAGCTTGATCCTCACCCAAGCCATTCTTCAGAGGCTGCGTTGTGGCCCCGGGCAGGTGACCGTGGCCGCCAAAGCTTCCTTTTGGAGAGCCTTTCAGCGCGACGCTGTGAACAGTCTGCTCTCTCCGTCGTCTTGCTCTGCGTCCGATCCCCCGCTGGATGGTGGAATCTGCCAAGGCTGACTTCTGAAAAGCGGGGATGCTAACGGGTGAAAGAAGAACTGATCAACATCAGCAGGCGGAAACCAGAGCAAAGCAGCCCTTTACACAGTTAAGCGCCTGCGCACTCCTTTCCCCAAACACGCCCCCGCCATCACACCCCACATCTCCTTTGAAGAGTGCGGCTTCTTTTTTTACGCCTGGGCCATGAAAGGGGAAGGTGCTCCCTGGTCTTCAAGTTGCACGTCAGGCTTGGGAACGTGAGCAGTGCCTCGATGCTGGGTCAGACACAAGGCCTACCCGAATCCAGCATCTCTTCCTGCAGGGGCCAACCCCAAGCAGGCCACGAAGGCAGCCCCCCCCCCCATCACTGCACAGCCGCCAGCAGGAAAGCTGTACTTCTGCACCTTTGCTGGCACCCGTTTCAGCCCTTCCTCCATAGCCATCAGGACGGGCAGCAGGTTTTTTAAAAAGAAGAGACCCCAAGCATGGAACCACCTCCTGCCTTTGCTGAGCGGTCTGGGGGCAGGATGGCTGCACCTGGCTGAGGCAGCCTGGAAGCCCCTCAGCCTGAGAAACACCGGGCCAAAAGCAGTTCTGGCCTCTGCATGAGGGCTACTTTGCTGGTTTCGTTTCGGGCGCCCGAGATACTCTGAGCGCACACCCAAGAGACAACCGAGACGTCGCCCCGCAGCTCCCAGGTCTGTCCATCCACACAGGAGGAGGAATGCAGCTTCGATAGTAAAAAGGACTCTGGCCCAGAGGCGGCTGGGAGAACAGCGCTGAGGCAGAAGGGGGAGCTGAGGCAAGGGGGGCTGCAACCCCCCCACCCTCTTTAATACAGAAATCAGATGATGCCCACTGGATAGGGGAGGCATCCGCATGGCTGCCATGGTCAGGGGCACTTGGCGCCAAAAACCTAACACGTGGCCGCCGCAACCAGGAGCTCCGTGCAGGGAGGCCGGTCTGGGAGCGGCACGTCTTCCTGCGGGTGTGAAGCAGCCTGTTTCGGACGAGGGCCGGGCGGCTCGCCTCTCTGCCTGCAAAAGCTTTGGGCAGGCTTTGCCTCCACGCCCGGCACATCCAGGGGCTTGACCAGTACTCAGAAGAACGGCTGCGAGTGGCTCTCCGGCCCCCCGCCAGCTCTGTGCACGGGACACCCTGGTCCGCTCTGCATGCAGTCGGGGCCGCACTGCCTACCGCCCCCGGCCCCGGCCTCTTCCGTGCACGCTCGGCCTCTCATGGGTGGCGCAGCACAACATGCAAGCCCAGACCGCTGGGTAGTTCAGGGCCACATACCCGGTGGTTAACCCGAGGGCAAACCGCTGAGGCCTGGGCATCTCCGACGACCCAGCGCAGGGCAGCGGTGAGCCCGTTGGACGAGGATTTGGGGGCTCAAGGTCTAGTCCCCGCTTGCCCGTGAAGCTCACAGCACGGTTTTAGGGGAGTCCCACTCACAGGTCAGGCTGACCTACAGCACAGGGCTGCTGTGCAGATAAAATGGGGAGGAGGTGGATTACGTGAGCTGTTTGGGGTTCCTTGCGAGGTAAGGTAAGTGCACTAAAGTGCTAGAAAATAACGTGCCCCAGATCCAAAGCCCACCACAATCCCTTGCCCAGCAGGGCTGTACGTTTTCATGCCCCCCCTCAAACATTTGCCCATCTGTGTTTGGACTCGGCGGCAGACGGTCCCCTCACTTGGCGAGCTCCGGCTTGTGCGCACAAAGGCCTTCCTCGCCTTCTCGCTGAGCTGCGGGATCGGCCCCCGGGCAGGTGCCGGTCGTATCCCAGCGTTCCACCGGGCGCTCCGGACGAGGGTCTTGGCTGCCGCTTGGGTCGCGGGGTAGCCGGCTGGCTCGTACGCAGCCCAGGCTGGGCGAACGGGAGCGTCTGGCTGCGAGCCACGGCCGGCCGAGAGGGACGCCTGGGAAGCAAGCAGAAAGGCCCGAGTCTGGAGGGAAGCGGCACACGGCTCGCCTTCCGAAGCCACGTGCGCTCACAGCCCCGGCTCGCCGGCCGACGCAGACGCTGCGACCGCCCTCCCGTAACGCCGCTCAGCCCTACACACTATGGGGCAGCCCACAAATGGAGCAACGACGACGTGTGTGGGAACCCGACCGGCACGACAGTGGCCACTCCCGCCACCTGGGCCAGAGGCCTCCTGCAAGGGGCGGGGGAGGGATGCACGGTGGGGGAACTCAGCAGCACGTGCGGAAGCACCCAGAGGCATGGGGGGGGCAGAGGGCCCCCGGGGCCAGCCCCTGCTGTCGCAGGACGCTCGGTTGCACCTTCCCACGGGGTGATGGCCCAGGCGCCTTTTGACTGTCTCCAGCAAGGCAGAGCCCAGAATTTCCCCAGAAAAGAGATCCCGTGGTCATAGTGCTCTGGCGGCCAGGAAAGTTCTTCCTGCTGCCCGTCTAGTTCTGGATTCCTTTAACGTGAATCCGTTTCTCTGTGTCCTGCACTTGTCCTTCCTCTTTGTGACAGCATTTCAGGTACCTGTGCAGGCACGCTAAGCCCTCGGAGGCACCTGCGGGGTGGAGACTGCACCATAAGATGAAGGAACGGCCGCCAAGAGTTCAGCACGCCATCCTGGAAGGCCCCTCCTGCTTGCAGGGGCGTCAGTGTGGATGGCCTGTTTATTCTAGAGGCATGAAAAGTGTGTGGGGCTCCCAGGCAGCTGCTGCCCCAGGTGCCTCTCCCCTTCCTGCTCACCTCATGAACAGGGTTGCCTGAGTCACACCTGGAGGGAGACTCACGCACCTTTCAACCTCCCACAGTGGCAGCAAGCAAGGCTACCTGCTCCCTCTCGGGCCTGTTGCCCACGTGCTTTCCCCATCAGGGGCTCCAGGTATGCCGTACACCTGGGAGAGGGTGGACCAGTGGGCCAGGAGGAGAGGAGGAGGAGGAGGAGGAGCCACAGCTGTCTTCATCCCGCCAGAACATTCTCAACCTTCTGGAGCTCTGAAGCCAGCCCCCCGACCCAAACAGGCCACCTGCGGCAACGCATTTGTGAGCGGTCTGGAGAGGGAAGGCCGGGAAGCTAAGCTCCACCTGCGCCGATGCCAGAGGCCTGTTTGGGACCGGGGGCGGATCCACTGAGTCTGCATCGGACCTGCACACGCGCCACACGACCACACAGCCGCTGCTCCTCCCTCCCGGCGGGGACGTCACAGCTGCCTCCTGAATTCGGGGGAGACACAGAGGGGAGGGCAGAAGGGACAAGGAGGCCTTTGCCTGCCTGCAGGAAGACAGCGGTTTGAACCAGCCCGGCCCCCCAGCAGGGCGCTCAAGCAGCCGCCAGAGGGCCTCTCTCGCGCGCCTGCCCCCAAGAGTGGCGGGGCAGAGAGGAGGGCCTCCCGCAGAGCTCTCGGCCCCGTGCGGGGCTTTACAGGTGGCGACCTGCCCTTGGACGTGTGCCTGGACACGGGCCAGCAGCCGGGGAGGCTGCTGCCACGAAGGAGACGAACGGAGCCCCGGCGAAACCCTCCGCGGAGGCAAGAGCAGCCAGAGGAAGACACCGCGGCGTGAGCAAGAGGGAGCTCAGGCGGGGGCCGAGCTGACTAGCTCTGGCGTCTCCAGAAATGCTGGCAGACGAGCCTCGCTGGGCAACACGCGCCCGGCCGCCAGCAAGACCCAGCCAGGCGGTGGGTTCAAGAGCCACTCCGAAACTGCACCTGCACGCTGGAGCCCTAAAGCACAGGCCGAATCCCCGCTCCCTGACCCGCCGTTCAGCTGAGCAGGAAAGCCCCGCCTGGGTTGGGGGGCGTGCCAAGGTGTTCGGCAAATTCGTCCCATGGAACCCTTCCTTAGAAATCCAGCATTAAAAAGCAAAGGCAGGGAACGGCATGAGGGCCCGCGGCCGAGTCCAATGCCGGCACTGTCCGTTTACTTTGCACGCAGCCGAGGAGACCGGGAGACGCGGGCCACGCGTGGACGGCAGCGCCTTATGCCGGGTTGCTAAAAGCCTCCGCCGAACGGTTGGCAGGGGTGGGCCAGAGGAGGGCCAGGTGGGCATGCGGGAGCGTAATGCGCCAGGCACTGTGGCGCAGCGTGAGAGGATGTGGCAGGCACACCAACGGGCACGGTGGAGCGAACAGCCGCAGGCCCCGGGCGGCTTCCTCTACCTGCGTCCTGCACGCTTGCGCTCGTGGCAGTCCTGCAGGCAGCTGCCGGAGGACAAGGAAGCGGGACAGGTCAGGTCACAGCACCCTGAAGCGCGGCACGCACCGCGTGTGGCTGCAGCCCTGGGCCGGCGCTGCAGGGCTGCCGTCCCGAAGGCACGGCGGGATGCAGAGCCGAGCACCCGCAAAGTGGCTGTGAACGCGGTTCGGAGGCCCAGGGCTGCCGCCTAATGGCAACACTGCGGCTGGCCCAGCAGCGGGAAGCCTCCAGCCCCGTGCTGTGCCCTGGCAGCTTGCTCGCGGGGGGGGGGGGGGGGGCGGGTCTCAGCCTCAAGGACGAGAAAGTCTGGGCGAAGCACGTCATCTGGACTGTGCTTTGCGCAGCAGCTGACCTGCCCGCCGCACAGGTGAGGGCGACCGTGCTGGGGGACACAGAGGACGGTCCGGAAGGAGCCGGACTGGGAAGTGGGGGCAGGGCCTGCTGGTCGGCCTTGCTCCAGAAGCGCCCTCGGCCGTGCCCGGCGGTGGCGTCGCCTTGGCACGCTTCTCCCAGCCCGCAGGCCTGGCACAACAGTGCGCCCGCGTGCGGAGAACACGCCGAGCGGGAGGCCTGCAGGTGCTCACGGGGCACGTCCCGTCCTGCCCGGGGCTGCCAGGGCACATCCCCGGGGTTCCCTCCCTGAGGCGTGCGTCCTGAAAGTCTTGCATCCAGGAAGAGTTTGTGCTGCCAAAAGGGAGGTGGGTCAGGTTACACACCAACTCTGTTCAGCCTTGGAGCCTCGGGGGGGGGGGGCGGATCAAAGCAACACAGGAGGAATAAGGGGGCTCTGCAGCAGCTTCCCCAGCAGAGATGGCCCCTTCCCCGCCGAGGACAGGGGCCCACTTGGCCCCGTGGCGATACTTGCCAAGGACTTTGCTTTCCGCAGTTTGTATGTCCCGCTTCCTGGTTTCTTTTTTCTCTGGCTGCGTTCTGGGGTGACTCCTCCTCCTCGCCTTCTGCTGCAGTTTGGGGTCAAGATTGGGAAAACAAACGTGAAACACGTTTAAGCATCTGGACAGAGAAGAGGGGAAATCCTTTCTGGGGCAGACACGATGCCCAGGCCCAGCACTTGCTTTGCCGGCTCTCATTTCAGAGACTGGGGCTGAAATCTCAAGTGGGCCTACCTGGGAGCAGGCGGACCCTAAGGGACAGACGGCGGAATCCCGGCCGCGCAACTCCCCAGCCAGAGGCCTTAATGCACACACAACGGCCCCCTTCGTGTTCCGAAATGCTGACAAGCCCTTTCAAGCATCCAGAAACAGAAGCCGCTGAAAGGAGGGCAGCAAAATCCCCCCCAGTGAGGAGGCGGTAATTACGTGCCAGTCGGCAAGCGCAGCACAATTTCTGGGCCGGCGCTGGGACCCCCGAGTTCGAGTTCAAAGCGAGATCTAGCCCGGCCTTCCCCAGCCTGGCACCTTCCCAAGGTGCTGGGCAGCGAGTGTGACTACCCCATCCTGCCTGGGAATGATGGGAGTCGCAATCCAACCTGTCTGGGGATCCCTGTGGGTTGGGCCAGGCCTTGCCTCCCGGGCATCGCTGACCCTCCTCCTTGCTGGCCTGCACCCACTGCAGGAACAGGCCTGGCGGGGCCTCAGGTGCCCCCGGCTGCTCTCGTCTCCCCGCTCCAGAATGCTGGTGGACTCCAGGTCCACCCAGACTCCCTGAAGCAGAGCCAGGAGGTTCCCTTCATTTCCTTTTGCACCGAAGTTGGCACCCAACGCGGGGGTGCCATGAAACCTGACGGGTCGGTCGGTCGGTCTCATGCACGACGAAATTACCGCCTCACTTCCCATCACGCACGCCTGGGGGGAACAGACCACGCTCAGTGCCGCCACCTGCCCTTGCGGGCTGCACAGCGATACACTGAAGGAGACCCCCCAGGTTGCCCAGCCTGGTTTGACAATCAGAAGATGGGAACAGGGGGGTGTCTTACTCTTGTCTTGCTTGCTCAACTGGATCCGGGTTGTCCAGGTAATTGAATCGGACGATGTCTGTCGGATGCTTATCCGAAGAACGCCACGGAGGGAGGCCTCCTGCCCCCTTGCCCGTCCTCTTTCCCAACAGAGACGCGGAAGGGATGACTGAGAAGAGGGACTGCTTCACCTCTGGGGCCTCTTTTGCCATCGGCTGGACATCAACCACCACGAAGGCCTCTTTCGGAGGGGTCTGAAGGGAGGAAACAAAGGTGCGGGCGAGATAAATCCCACGACGCTGCAGACTTCCTTTCTGAGCTGCCTGTGCCGGGTGCTTTCCCCACTGGCTGCCCCAGGGCTGTGAAGTTATGGGGCAACGGGCAGCGCTATGCCAATCCACGGAGCAGTCCAACCGAGTGCACACCTTGAAAGCAGGAAGAGCAACAGCTCCGCCACAAAAAGGTGAGAGGTTAAAGAAGCCCAATCCGCTTGGGAAGGACAGCCCCGCTGGATTAGGCCAAGGGTCCATGCAGTCCGGAACCCTCACAGAAACATAGAAACAGAGCGAGTCAGAAGGGGTCTCCCGGGCCATCTAGTCTGACCCCCGGCTCCAGCCGGCTCCGCTCACGACATGCCCACCATGTGCACGTCCAGCCTGTCCTTGAACACTCTTTCCATCCGGGGCGTGAACACAGGTCTGTGTTGCGCAAGGCCCACACTGAGCTGTCCCCCGACCCTGATCGTGCACACTCCTTTTGGCCATCGTCAACATGGACAGCTGTAGCCTCCAAGAACGTGAGCAAGCCCTTTGTGAAAGCCAGTGACCGTTATCACGCCTGATGGCAGCAAATTCCCCAAGTCCAAAATGAGTTGAATCCACTCGGAATTTCAGGCTGCCCAATCTGCCGAGTGGTCCCAGGTTCACAGTGAGGAGCTCCATTGACCTCAGCGTGGTCCAAAGGCCGACCCTCAGGACCTCCAGGATTTCAAGGAAAACCTCTTTTCCAGCCATACCTAGAGATGCTAGAGACCAAGTCCAGGACCACCGGCATGCAAAGGAAGGGCTCCTTCACTGAGCTGTAACTCCTCCTCTAAAGGCAAAGCTGCATAGCCTGAAGTGCCTGATCCCACATAATCTTGGCAGCTAAGCAGGGTTCGGCCCGGTTGAAATCTGGATGGGCGACTTTAATGTTGTGAGCTGCCTTGGCTATGGGCGGTCTAGAAATGTCATGTAATAACAACAACATGCGTTTATATAAATTCTTTGAAGGAACAAATCAGGAGCAGATGTGGTTTTTAGGGGATTAAGTAATTCAAGTGCCAGCTCAAACCTTCAGAAGAAACTGATGTGCCTGAATTCTGAAAAGCATCAATCCCAGGAGGACCGTGCCACACCCTTATTTCTGAAGTTTGAGGCGGCTCTCATCCACACACCCAAACGTTCCCCAGGTCAAAAACACCATGCCCATGAAAGGCTGCGCCACCAGTCGGAGGCGAAACGAGGAGCGTTCGCCTTCTCTCTCGAAAGGCTCACGCTGTGCGGATGATGCGGGTACCTTAGGCCTGGTGACCTGGAGCTCCTCCACCGTCCGAATGTAGTGCTTCTTCCAGATTCCTTCCTCAAACGGAGTCGGAGGGAAGCTGATGTGCCACCCCAAAAGCAGGCATTTCGGCATCCAGAGCTGATCCAGCTCTGCCAAGTATTTCCAGTGCCAGCTCACCTGTGAATTGCAAAGGCACCCGAGGGCTGAATGCGCACGAGTTTTAGAGAGGGCTTACCTGGCTGTTTCTCTGCTGGTCTAAGCTAGGCTCAGGACGAGTTTGTACATGTGCTGACAGTGCTAAATTTCAGGCACTGGTTTCCTTACTCTTAGCTGTATGGACAAAACTGCATGCATGGTGGACACGCAGAAGCAGTTGCGTGGATCTGTTGGGATTCCCTTGGGAATGATGGGGAATTACCTCTTGCTGGCTCCCTGGGCCTCTTCTGGTTCTCTTACCGCTTTCTAACATATGAAGCTGCCTTGAATTGAGGCAGACCACTGGTCCATTTAAGCCAGCCTTCCCCATCTATAACTGCCAGCATTCCCGAACCTTGGCCATGCTGGCTGGGGCTGATGGGAGTGGAATCCAAAACAGCTGGAGGACAGCCGCTTGGGGAAGTATGATCTACTCCCACCAGCCTTGGTGCGCCGAGGCCCTTTCCAGCTTCGAGACCCAAGATCACGTTGCCATGAAGAGACTGGGGCTGCGCTTGGTCTTGCCGCCTGCTGAGCACGTGCCCCACAGCCGCTCTCAAAAGCAGGCTGCTGCGGCCCCTGCTGAGAACAAAGGAGGCCCCCACGGTGTCCGCCGGCCCAGCTTTGCTGGCTCTGGTGGGCAGGGGACCTCCAAGGTCACAGCTGCTGCTTGGGATCCTTCTGCCTGGAGGTCCGGAACCCAGCGTGGGAGATATGCGCCTTGCTCCTGGACCCAGCGACCCAGCACCATGCAAACGCAGCGGTGTCACCGCACCAGTCCGTGGCTCCTGAGCATCCGCTCCAGCGTGCCTGCAAGTCCACAGCTGGAAGAAGCCCAGGCGATGGCTCAGCCCAACCGACGCAACAATCCCCTGAATGTCAGGGCACCCTGATGAATGTAGAGGGTTTGTCCAACCCTGGGAGGGAAGCCTCCGCACAACCTCCTTTCGAGGGTGAACTGGGAATCCCTGCTTGCTGCGGTCTACCTGAACTCTGCCAGCCGAAGGCACTCCTGTTTGCGCCCTCGTTGGTACCCGCTCCTTGCCCCTGCTCCTCTGAATACCTGCGACATCACCTTTCCCTTCGGCTTCCCTCCCTCTGGGCTGCAGCAGAGTCTCTCCCACAGGCTGAGCTTTACCTGGGCGCACCGGCAGAGGCTCTGAGGGTCCAGGAAGGAAAAGATGTACAGAGACAACACCCTGGGAAGCTCGGTGGTGAAATCCAGGGCTTCAGCTGGAACGCGACTCTGCAGCTGCTTGAGACAGAATTTCAGCTGCGAGAGGGAGCAGCGCTCCAAGAAGTCCACCAGGACGCTTCGCCTCTGGCTGTCCGTCCATTTGTCGAACTGGGGGAAACAAGTGAGGGGAGGGTTTCTTGGCGCCTGGGTGCTGCCCTGCAGAAGTTATTTGTCCTCCCGTATAGCATTTTGCCAGCAGCAAACCACAGGAGCCACATCCCACATGGTCTTGGCTGGATCCAATTTCCTGGTTGCTCCCACGGAATGGATACCACTGGCAGAAACGGATCTCGCCTCTCCTTCTGTCCTGCAGCCCCCACCACAACCAGCACACCCACACTCCCCAGATCTACTCTGGAGGGTGGAGGGACCTGGGGGAGCAGGAGAGAGGCCGAGGAATTCCTGCCCTTTCAGCGGAATTCATTGTACCAGCACAATGGGGAAGTTGGGCCCAACCCTAAATGCACGGGGTTCCCTGGCTGGATCGGGCCAATGGCCGACCGGGTCCAGGATGCAGCCTCCAAGAGGTTCTGCCCCTCGCCAGGTGTGGCGGGAAAGGCTCACAGGTATGGCGTGAAACCCATGTCCCTCTCTGGCCACTGGTCCCCGGGAAGTACACCGCAAGCGCACACAGAGATTCCGATCGGCTCTTCGGAAGGAAGGCTGTAAGATGAGCCATGCTGGAAGCAACCAGGGTTGCTCTGGTCCGCTCACACCGTGTCCACCTAGCTGCCCTCGGGAGACCCACAACCCGGACAAGAGCACACGAGCACCTCACGCCATGTTCCCCAGCAAGTGGAGTGCGAGGGTAGGGATGTACAAGTCATCTGTTTTGGGCAGAAAACCCACTGCGCGCCCTGCCTTTGGCTTCCTGGACCCCGGCCTGCTTGGCCACGGCCCAGAATCCAAGTTCCCGGCAAGCATGCCCAGAGGTCGTGGGGCACTCGCCAGGAAGTGCCCCCCCCCCATGGGCTGCACAAGCAGCGCCGCTCTACCGTGCCTGCTGCAGCTGAGAGCCCTGGCTACTGGACGGTATAGAAATGAAATGAACAAACGAGCACGCTCTGCCGTGAATGGCGGCGGCAGGACCCTTCCCCACACGGACCTCCGGCAGCAGAGGCAAGCAGGTTGCTGCTTGCACCGCTGGGCTTCTGCACTGCTTGCTGGAGGCCTTCCTCCAGGCTCAGCTTGCTTTGCAGGACCAGGCTGAGCCCGGGAGGAAGAGTGCGGATTCTGGAGCGATGGATTCCAAAGGGTGGGCCCCAACCCTATACACTGGCCTATTGCCTCTTTTTTCATGCAATTTTTAACTATGGATTTCTAAAAATTACCACAAAACAAAAACCTAAAAATAATTTTAAAAGAGTTTGCATACACGCAATGTGGATCAATTACAGAGGATACAGATGAAATGTATATCTTTATGGATTACATACTGAGAAAAATATACGACTTTCAATAGAAATCACTTTAACAGAGGCAAGCAAAATAGCTCTGCATTTATCCAGGCATCCAAACAGCACCCATCCAAGTGCTGAAGCAGTCAATCGATCGCCAACCCATTGTGTTCCTAACTGTGGCTGTTTATCCTGCCAGTGTGGAAATGCTGCGCTTATCACAGGGGCAAAGAAATCCACCTACACTGCCCTTGGGTTAGATCCCAAGAAGCGAGTAAAGAGTCAAGTATGCAAGTAAGTATGTACGGCGGATCTTACAGTGGCTTTAATGTTTTCAGTTGGAGGCACTGCTTGGCAGTGGTTCCGCTCCTGTCTCAATGGCTGACTCCAGAAGGTGGTGCTGGGGGACTGTTATGCCATGGGGTTCTGCAGGGGTCCATCTTGTCCCCCTTGCTATTTAACATCTACATGAAACTGCTGGAAGAGGTCATCCGGAGGTGTGGGCTGCGGAATCATCAGTACGCTGATGATACCCAGCTCTACCTCTCGTTCTCAACTAATCCAGGTGAGGCAGTGGCTGTGCTGAACCAGTGCCTAGCCAAGGTAATGGGCTGGATGAGGGCCAATAAACTGAAGCTCAGTCCAGACAAGACGGAGGTCCTGTTGGTCAGCTGTTTGGGCTTCGGGGTCGGGGACCTTGATCTTGTCCTGAATGGGGTTGCAGTCCCTCCGAGGGACAGGGTTCACAGCTTGGGAGTGCTCTTCAGCCCAGAGCGGTCATTAGAAGCTCAAGTAACGGCGGTGGCAAGGAGCACCTTCCTTCAGCTTCGGCTGATCCATCAGCTGCGTCCCTACCTGGAGAACGACTGCCTGGCGACAGTGACACATGCGCTGGTAACTTCCCAATTAGACTTCTGTAATGTGCTCTGTGTGGGGCTGCCCTTGAAGATGGTCCGGATACTTCAGATGGTTCACAATCAAGCTGCCAGGCTGCTGACGGGGACTGGGTGTTGTTCTCATATAACCCCAGTTCTCCGTCAGCTTCACTGGCTCCCCATTGAAGTCTGGGCCCAATTCAAGGTGTTGGTTATCACCTATAAAGCCCTCAACGGCTTGGGACCTGGTTATCTAAAGAAGCACCTGCGTCCATATGTGCCCTCCCACCCCGAGATAGGCGGCAGAGGCCCTTCTCCGGGAGCGCTCTGTGAAGGATATTAGGAGGGTGAGGACCCGGAGGAGGGCCTTCTCTGTGGCGGCGCCCAATCTATGGAATGCGCTCCCCAGAGATGTCCGCCTGGCGCCGTTGTTATTTGCTTTTCGGTGCCAGGCCAAGACCTTTTTATTTAAACTTTATTTTAATTGTTAATTTGTTGTCTTTATTTATTGGTTTTAAATTATGGCTGAGATACTCCGAATTTTTGATGTTATTCTATTCTATGTTTATCTATCTTCCTTGTAAGCCGCCCCAAGGCTTTCAGCGATGGGCACGGCATAAAAATGTTATTAAATAAATAAATAAATAAACAAATAGTGGTAAATGTTGTTTCATATTGTAGTTCAATCTGTATTTTATTCTGTTTTGTATTCTATTTTGTTGCAGTAACCCACCCTGGGAGCCATATGGTTAATGGGGCGGGTTAAACATTTATTTAACATTAAAACATTAAATGTTATTTAATAGGGTTTCATACGTATTGCACTACCATGTGCACCACATGGCACATGGTGGGCGTGTCGTGAGCGGAGCCGGCTGGTGCCGGAGGTCAGACTAGATGGCCCGGGAGGCCCCTTCTGACTCGCTCTGTTTCTATGTTTCCCTGTATTAAATTTGTCCGAATTAAAACTTTTGCCCCAAAAGAGGCAGTTGCTGAGCATGGTCAAAATACACAAATTACGGAAGCCTTCACTGTATGATGCCTGTACCAGTTTGCCTTCATCCGAGAGAGGTTTTGCTGCCCAGCAGATGAGAGCCAAGCTCTAGTGACGCTTCTGGAAGGATGCTACTGCAGCATTTCATTGGCCATTCTCGGATACCAGGCGCAGCATGAGGCATCGGGGTCCGTCCAGTGGCTACTGGCAGCCTTCTCCTCCATAAATTTGTTGAATCTCCTTTTTGCAGCTCCTCAGCATGACCGCATTTTGTGCAAGTAAATTAATTACGGGCCATGTGAAGAAGTATCTCCTTTTGACTGTCTCACCAACCGGCTCCGTGGGGTGATGCCTGAGCCTCACACTGAGAGGAGGAGAAAGGTTTGTCCCCACCCGCTTTCTCTGCACCAGGTTTTACTGCCCCTTTCTCTAAGCTAAACCGTCTCAGACATTGCAAGGGAAGCTGGCCTCCTAGAGGAGCTGCTCCAGTCCTGGATCATCTAAGTTGCCTCTTTCTAACTCTATAATAACCGTTTTTTTAGGTGTGGAGACCAGGACTGGACACAGCACGTGATGTGAGACTGCACCATAAATTGCATCCAGGAACTATGACCTTGGCAGTTTTATTTTCAAGACTAATCCTAAGTCAGCTCGGCACAGAATTGCCAACACATTTCAAAAGATTTGGAATAACATTCCCCAATCTGATGAGCTCCTTATAGGCATACTCTGCTCAAGATACATCGACATTATAGAGGCGTAAAAATGAATGAATTAAATAAATAATAAGTACTGAAGCCCATGAGATTTGCAGAGCAATTAAGAAAGAAAAGGTGATTACCCATTTCCCCAGCAAGTTTCTTCTTTCTTCAAAAACCTTTAAAGAAAGCATTCGGAATTTTAAAAAATAGGACCGTACAAGAAACGACCCAACAAAACTCCAAAAATAACTCTGCAAATGTATCAACAGTTAGTTAAAGGACAGGTTTGACCAGAAATGTAATTCTAATTTAGAACATTATATAAATTCTGGCTGTATGGCCAAATCCAAGGCTTTGGCTAAAAGCCCTAAGGCCACGTCATAGAGATACCTCTGTTGAGTGCAGAAGGATCACAAGAAACTGAACTTTTCCCCTCAGTGATATATTTCAAAGGGACCGTCAAAAAATTAAAATGGTAAGGACAGAGCCGGTGGGCCAGACCAAAGATCCACCGGCCATCCTGGGTGACCAAGGTGAGGCTCCCAGGAAGCGTCCAAGCTGGGTGTACAGCCAACGGCTCTGTCTCTACCCCCACCCACCTGCCTGACTGCCTGTGGAGGTGCCATGGCTTAGCTCCCTCTCTGTCAGAGCAATACGACAGTGGGACCAGCTGCCCGGAGAGGTGGGGGGCTCTCCCACACTGGAGGCATTCAGGGTGAAACTGGGCAGCCTTCTGAGTGGGATGGTGTAACGTGGTATCCTGCAACAGCAGGGGGTGGACTTGATGGCCTTCGTGGCCCCTTCCAACTCTGCTATTCTATGATAGTCAGTGTTGAAGCTACTGCCAATTAGTTTCATCTGGATGGCTCCGAGTTCTAGGATTTGTTCTGAGTTCTGCATGCAAAAACAAGAGTGCAATGAAGAAAAAGAAGGAACTGTTGATTGAAAGCTGTGGCGCCCTGTTGGTCGAGGAGGATTACGGGGAAAACACTTTTGGCAATGGTGCTCGTTGAAGGGACGGGACAGTACAATAAATGAGGTTCAGGATTTCATTCTCCTTCCCTTGCGTGGTGTTCTGTTCTTCCTGAGAGGTCTGTGTGGCACAGCCAGCCCCTTTCCCATCTCCAGCGGGGCTTTGCCATCGTAGCTGATCATACCCAACGGCTGAGCCTTGCAGGGGAACGGAGTGCGAGACCAAATTGGGCCAGTTTCTTTCTAGCTGGGTTCCCCCCTCCCAAACCCCCACCCAAATCCCCATGCATGAGGGGACACTTGGCTACCCACCAGATCTTCCTGAACACCAGCCCACTCCCTACTGGCTGGGAACAATTTTTTTTTTGTTCTGTCACAAGAGAGCAACGGCCTAAAGATCAAGTTTCAGTTTAGCCACCTTAAGGGGAAGAGCCAGAGACTTGTTTGTGCAGCTCAAAGCGGGCCTCATGGGCTTTGAGCACAGATTCACGCCGTGTGTGCTTCCCAAGCTCTCGTGTACCCACCTGGGCCTACCCTGGGACTGACGCGCTCTATTATGATTGCATCTGTTAATCCCTTATAAAATCATCGGATGGTGACAGAGGCGTTCTGACTTTTAATCCAGACAGGCTTGACCGTTCCAGTCTTTCCAGGGTAGAGTGGGGCCAGGGTCTACCCTTGGAGGGCCTCGCTGTAATTTACAGCAAAGCGTGGGTGCGTCACCCCCTGCCATGCCTCTTCAGCACAATCTCTGGGAAAACACATGCATGGGATGCCAGGGCGGGCAGGGCAGGGCAGGGCAGGGCAGGGCAGGGCAGGGCAGGGCAGGGGCTGGTGTTTGCTTTTTTCCCTAGAAGTGGCGAGCCCATGAAATGCATCGGAAGAGACACGGGGATGTGATGACCCTCATGGGTTTCTTTCACCAAACGTGCCAGGGAGACACACGGGCGGGGGAAGGGGGCACATGGCGCAGTGGCCGCCCACGGTGTCCTCGCCAGCGTGCGGTTCAGCCCAGCCTCCATTCTCCCATCTCTCCAATGTTCGGGTTGCGGGATCCCGTACTCCCCATTTCTCTGGGTGGTCGGAGAGCTCTGGAGAAAGCACCACCAAGTCAGTCTCCTCGTGAGGGAAATACAGGCGACTTACAGCCTGTCACCCTGAAGATGGGGGGAAGACACACAAGCCCCCGGGCAGACAAAGGGAGTTTTTAGGGCAACAGCAGCTTCCCCAGAGTGGAGGACCAAAGACGGCTATAAAAACTTTTGGCTCCTTCCCAGGCTAAACCCAAACTCTAAATGGGTCCTCCCCACTCAAACAGGTAGTATGTTTGGCCCGTCCCACCCCCGATAGTTTGCTCAGGTTGCAATGTTTGAAGCTTTTTAGATTAGGGGAAAAATGAGTATGGGGAAACATGATAGACATCTGTAAACGTATGTGTGATGTGGAGCAAAGGAGAGGGTCTTTTATTCCCTCCTTCCCAATACTAGAATCAGGGATCTTATCATGGAACTGAGTCAGGAGACAGGATTTAGGAGATGAATGCAAGTAATTCTCCACGCAGCCCGAAGTTAAGCTATGGAGTATGGTACCACATGGATTCATGGAAGGCGGCAGGTATCAATGGCTACTCATCATGACCCAGGTGGAAGACCAAGTGCGTCGGAAGTGATATGCCTTGAATTATCACCTGCCAGCAAACCTAACTAGGCAGGTGCTGTTGCACTCATACCGTGCCAGTGGGTGTCCTGTGGGAATCCGGTTTGCTACTGGGAGGACAGAATGCTGGCCCTTCATCTAATCCCACACGGCTCTTCTTATGTTTTCAGCGGTTATGCAGTTAGCTGAAGCTGGAAAGTCTAAAATTTCTAACCTAAATTTCTAAAATGTATCTTAGAAATCAGAAAGGAGTTTCCAATTTAGGGATGCAACTTGCTTTCCCAGACTGTTAGCAGAAGATGGCCCAGTGTGGAAGACTGAGGAAGCAATCCGATATATCCTTGGACAAAAAGAGGTCCTAAAGCTCCCAGCATTTCCCACCCAGCCATATTGACTGGGGAATGGTCAGAATTGTAGGGTTTTTTTCTTTTTAAGCCTATGCAGGATTTCATCCTGAGCAGAGTAGCAACCAGAACTGGGAAGAGCTGGAGAAGAAGTGTGGGACTTGGAATGCCAGCAGGTCTCATCCCAGCCAGAAACATTCTAACTGGGGAAAAATGGCTTCCCAAAGAGAACTGATACTTCCCAGGGCCCATCTCAGCACACATGTACCGTCTGTCTCCGCTGAGGTACAATGTCCAGTGACATCATTACTGGGGAGATGCGGGAGGCCTCCACACTCCCTGGGCCAAGAGAGGGAGATGAGGGTATGCTTCGTATGTTCACCTTGTCATTCATGAGCTGATGGTTCAGGGGAGTCCATGCACTCATCTTCGTTTGCATCTTGGGGCCCTCGAGGTGCTTGGGACGTCCAAACGCCATTATGTCTCTGCGGGAGATGTCACAATTAATTAGATACGAGAACCAATAATGATTGTTAAGGCGTTGTTGCAGACGTTTAAACTACAAACAGGGATGAATATATTACTGCCTCAAGTGAGCATCTTCTGTCTTTCCCACTGACTGACATTAAAGAGATAAAGATTATCCTACAGTTGTCCTGATATTCCTACATTTAACGAACATTCACAAAAGAAAACCAGATGAAGTATTATTATGCATGAAAATAATAAAGTAAAGAAGTAAAAATTATACTGTATGAGCTGTGGGCATGTCTCTCCTATCAGCCAGCACTGCTGTGCTTTCAGCACATCTTCATCTATTTCTATGGCACAAAGGTCAACCTGGAAAGGCTTTGTGTGTGGTGGGGTGGTGCTGGTGGGGAACTTTGATTGGGATCCATGCATGGGGCACTTTAAGGATTTGCACCCACCATCGTCCCAGGCAGAGCTGGGTCCCCAGTCCTGCCATGAGCCTTTTTGCTAAAAGACGACCACTGCAATGTTTAACAAAGTTTTCAATGTGTGAATCCCCACGGCTGAAAAGAATATAGAAATCATGACCAAGCTGGGCTTGCTGATCTAAATCGAAGTGTCCCCTCCGCTTCCGCAGGCAGGAAGTGTCCTCGCTGCACATTATGAACGCGTTGCAGGATGAGGTCAGGGGAACCCAGGCAGGGTTGGCACCACACGCTGCGGACTCTTTGGCCACGTGTTGGACTTCCTTCACCCAGCAGCAGACCATGCTACACACAGACACGGGAGTTAAAGCACAAGACTGGCACAATATTCCCTTGGTGGCGACACTTGACTGTGGCAAAAGGTTCTGAAGTAGTGTCTGTCTGGCTCTACTCCTAATCAATCCTGTGGAAAGTCTAGGCCAGCTGTCACTTCACAGGCATAATTTGATAATGTTTAAGAAAGATTAATGCCCTGTAATGCTCATATCATATTAACAAAGGGCATTAGTCTGATTTCCTGGATGGTGCTAATCCAGGTTTAACCTTGCAAAAATGTTAAGTCTGGGCCTCCAACACAGGCGGACCCGTTTTATTGAGGGAGCTGCATCACTGTTACGAGAAATAAATTTGACAAAGCATTGTTTGGCAAAAGTTTAGCACATATACACACAAAGATATTTAGCCCAGTGAGCATAAGCTACATGTGGACAGTGAGTGGAGAGGTGCTCTCTTCTCCTGCTGCTGGGAAAAATATGCTGCACCTGAACTTTGGATTCTCAATGTTGACTTTTAACGTGTCTGACCCAAGCCTAGTTAACCATATTCCACAGTGGCCAACCAGAGGATTCAATAGGAAATCCACAAGCAAGTCAGTGCCTTCTCACCCATGTTCCCCAAAAGATGTACTGCCCCGATGCTGGGGGTAACATGGAGACATCGGGGCTGGTAGCCACGGCTACCTCCTTGCCCAGGAATATGCCCAGTCCCCTTCTAAAGCTCTCCAAGTTGGTGGCCACCACTTGGTCTTGTGGAAGTGGGTCCATCATGGAACTGTGTGCCCTTCCTTTGATCTTTCCTGACTCTCCCACAGTTGAGGGACGACCCCTTTGTTGTTGCTAGTCCAAAGTCGCGTCCGACCCATCGCGACCCCACAGACAACACTCCTCCAGGCCTTCCTGTCCTCCACCATCGCCCTGAGTCCACCTAAGCTCACGCCGACTGCCTCAGTGACCCCATCCAGCCACCTCATCCTCTGCCCTCCCCTCCTTCTTTTGCCATCTCTTGTTCCCAGCATCAGGCTCTTCTCCAGGGAGTCCTTCCTTCTCATTAGGTGGCCAAAGTATTGGAGCTTCATCCTCAGTATCTGGCCTTCCAAGGAGCAGTCAGGGTTGATCTCCTCTAGGACTGACCGGTTTGATCACCTTGCGGTCCAAGGGACTCACAGAGTCTCCTCCAGCACCACAATCCAAAGGCCTCAATCCTTTTGAGCTCAGCCTTCCTTATGGTCCAGCTCTCACAGCCATGCACTGCAACTGGGAAAACCATAGCCCTGACTATACGCACTTTTGTTGGCAGGGTGATGTCTCTGCTTTTTAGTATGCTGTCTAGATTTGCCATAGCTTTCCTCCCCAGGAGCAAGCGTCTTTCAATTTCTTGGCTGCAGTCCCTGTCTGCGGTGATCTTGGAGCCCAGAAAAATGAAATCTGCCACTATCTCCATTCCTTCCCCACCTATTTGCCATTACCTCAGTTTTCTTGATGACCCCTTTAGGTTCTTCCTTATAGCAGAGGAAGGAGAGCCATGCTGGATTGAATCAAAGTTGATACAGTGGCCAACCATTTTCTCCCTGAATATGCCCACAATCAGGGCCGGAGTGTAGGAGCACCCTCCGGCCCATGTTCCCCAGCAACTAGCGCACACAGGCAGAGCACAGACCCATAGGACTGCCATCTCCCCCAGAAATGTGGCCAATCTTTCTTTAAAGCCTTTTGGTTTAACTAAGTTCAGTTTACACCTTCTTACTCCCAACCTGGTGCCCCACGGATGGTTTGCACTTCAACTCACAGCTTGCCTGACCATTGTCCATACAGGCTGGGGCTGATGGGTTGTCCTAGCCCAAGACATCTGGAGTCACCTTCCAGGCTGCGGAAGGATGATGTGGAACAGCCTCCCGCCACCTGGTGTCCTGCATTTGTGAGGGTGATGGGAATTGCAGTCCAACACAACCACCGCACACCGCATGGGAGAGAGTGGTTGCAGAATTACCGTCTTCAACCTGGCACGCTGCAGCTGGCTGGGGATGCTGGGAGTTGTGGTCCAACGCATCTGCAGAGTCAGGTGAGAGAAGGCTGATCTAGGTCTCCTTACCCCGCTTCCCAAGACCGCCGGGCTTCCGGACGCCGCGCGAGCGCTCGCCTCTCCTCCCGGGTCCTCCGCCCCGCGCACGACGGTCCGCCGCCCGCCACCCCGGGGACCAGCCGCGGCCTAGTCCTCCCGGCCCTTCTCGGCGCCACCTGCGAGTCGATTCGCTCACCATGGAAACCGTTGCCTAGCTGCGGCGGCCAATCGGGAGCGGGCGGCCGGCTCCGTCCTTTGCGTTTTTCCCACCTAGCAACCGGGCGAGGGAGGAGGCGGCGATGCGATTGGCTGCCTTCCCTCGCCCCCCCGAAGGGGGCGGGGCGCGGGCGGGGCGCGAGGGGTGGCGGCGGCGGCGGCGGCGTGCTCGTCCGCTCGCTGGCTCGCTGGCTCCGGCGTGGCTGAGGCACCTGAGGGCCGAGGTGGGCGGACGGGAGGCCCGCAGGCAGGTAACGGCGCCCGCGGTGCGGCGGGCTGCCCGGCGCCCTTCTCCCCGCGCCGCTCACGCAGGAGCCTCTCGCGGCCCCCAAGGGGGACGGGGCGGTTAGTCGCGCGCCCCTTGTGCGGGGAGGGGTCGCCCTCGGGGTCCTCTCCCCCACGCGTGGCAGCCCGAGGGGGGAGCGCTTTCAGGCCCTGTGCGCCTGGGCCGGCACGGCGGGGTCTGCTCGTCTGCGCACTCGCCCCCCACACCACACCCCGCGCGCACAACAAAGGCTGCTCGCCGAACGGAGGGGAGGGGAGAGACCCCCACCGCGCCTGTCGTGGGGGGCGAAGGCCGCTGCCCCTCTCGGGTCACAGGTTAGGAGCGGGTGCGCAGGCCTGCCCTGCCCTCCGTCAGCGTGGGGGGCCAGGATTTATCTCCCCCGTAAGAGAAGGAGGGCGCCCATTAAATGAGTGGGTGGGGTCGGGTGGGGGTCGAAAGGCGAGATAAATGAAATTAGGTATTTAATTAAAGGGAGGATGCAATTTCCAACATACGTGTATATGTCGGGGGGGGATATGGTTTTGCTAGGGTGGCACCTCCCCCCCCCAGGAAATGGTGAGGGGGCTTTTCTTTGTGCCCTCCTGTCATGCGACATGCCTTGGATAGGATGGAGCTGAGAGATGCTCTTGCTAGTAATGCGAATGACTCTAAGACTTTTATATCTCTTTCTGCTAGTATAATTCATAATAGATAACGAGCATAGTAATTTTATTTCTTTTTAAATGATGAATGTTGAAGGTTTGATCCGCTTGAGCTTCCCTGTGGTCTCTTGTTTCTCCATCTAAAAAGAAAGGAAATTGTGGGGGGAAAGCTGGGTTTTCCTTTTAGTTCTACCACTTCTCCCCCCCTCCCCCCCGCCCCCTGCGAGTGCATTCGCTATGTAAAAATATTTCTTGGCAGCCTTTAAGGGTTGCACTGAAATAGGGGGAAATAGGAAGGGGCTTGCTGTCCGTGCCAAGATGTGTTTTGTGAGGGTGGGGAGCATTGCTCACCTTACAGGGAGGTGGTGTTGTGGAATAACCTTTTTGTCTCCTTGGAAAGGCAGCTGGGATGAATGGGTCCCACTGAAGAATAGGGATTCTTTAAATTGTCACCACCATAGGCAATTTTGGGGTAAATACAGGCGTGGATGAATATAAGAGGGAAAATGTTGTCTTCTAACTTCTTCCTTGGAGAAAGGAAAGAAATGTGCTTGGGATACCCATGGTAGAGAGGAGAATCTACTCCTCTTCTGCCTCCTCCTAGTCCCATTTGTGGATTTACTTCCCTTCTGGCTGGAAAGAGGATAGTGGACTCGATCTGGCAGAGCGGCATTTTATATTCCTGGAACTCTTTGTGGAGATGTGCCCCTACTTCCTACTCCTTTGGAAGGACTCTGAAACAAAGGTGTTTTCAGTAATCTGCTCTTTCCCAGACCCGCTATCTCTCTGAGCCATTACAGAGGCAAAGGTTTCATTCATGAGGAAACTAAAATTCAGAAAGCAAACAAAGAAGCTGTCTCTTATATGGCAGAAAGGAGTGGGTCAAAGGCTGGTGTTGCTGACCTCTGTGTGATGCACTGCAGGAAGCAAGAGTTTTTATGTTTCCTACCAAGCCGGGTGTGTATTGAGGAGAGGGCTCTAGATCTTCCTGCGCTTCAATAAAAGGCAGCATAGGGAGTGGATCTGCTTCTCATTACGTGAAATGAGC